AGATTGAGAAAATAATTATACTATTTATTAATAATCTTTTAAAAAAAGAAATAAAAATAAAGAGATATTTTTTTATAATTTTATAATTATTAAAATAAAGAGATAATGATAAATTTAGTGTAAAAATATTTATTTATCATAAAAAATAAAAAAATAAAAACAAATTTAAAATAAAAAACAACAATTACTTTAAGACAACAAATAAATAATTAAAATATTCAATTAATTTGGATCCCATTGTCATGTTAATGGCTGAAATTAAAAATTTTTGTCATATATATCATCAATTTATATTATGAGAAATTCAACCATTAAAAAAGAATAATTTAACCAAGTAGATAAAAAACAACAATCACTCTAAGATAAAACAAATAAATAATTAAAATATTCAATTAATTTGGATCCCATTACCATGTTAATGTCTGAAATTAAAAAATTTTGTCGTATCATCAATTTATACAATGAGAAATTCAACCATTAGAAAAGAATAGTTTAACCAAGTAAATTCATCTATGTATTTACACATGTAAATGATGCTAATTTTATCCACATAGCTCATATTGTGGAGTGGTTAAACGTGTGTAGGACATTAATCACCAACGTTATTTATGTTAGAAAGATCTTCCAACACTCAATAACTTCCAATTGCATGGGTGAAAGCTCCCACACCAACGTGGATCAAGTTTCTGGCGCTTTATGGTGAGTTCACGATAAGTTAATGACAATGATGATCCAGATTTTTTAATAAACTGTGAGTCCCATTAATTTTTCTTAAAGCGTATATACTTTTCCATTCCCATTTACACCTGAGGATTCGAAGGTTGAATATATTAAATATTTAAAATAAAAAATTTTGATTATTCCCCCCTTTTGTTGGCAAAAACCCTCATTTTGCCCTTCAACTTTTTCAGTATAAGGGGTTTTACCCTTCATTTTATAATTTATGAGTTTTTGTCCTTTAATTTTTCAAGTTTAGAATAATAAAACAATAATTAATGTCACATGCTCACGTGCAACACATGATCACTAGTATTATGTTACCCATGCTATGTCAACACCACCTAAGTGCCATATAAGCACCACATCAATGCCACATGGATACCTATTTTATACATTGGCACTACTCACTTGAAAGACAAAAACTCATGTGCTGACATGGCACTCATGTGGTGTTGATGTGGTGCAAGTAACGAAGGACATGGCACTACTTAGTTGAAAGACGAAAACCCCTGTGCTAACATGACACTCATGTGGTGCTGATGTGGTGCAAGTAATGGAGGACTAATAGTCATGTGCTACACATGATTATGCGATGTTAAATATTTACCTTATTATCTTAAACTTGAAATATTAAAGGGTAAAAACTCATAAAATGTAAGATGAGGGGTAAAATCCCTTACACCTAATGCGTTGAAGGGCAAAGTGAGAGTTTTGGCCCCTTTTTCCTTTCTCTTTAATAGCTTTAGTTGGATTCCCACACTACCGCCAAGTGGCTAAGGTCCACCATTTAGTGGAATCACTTCTTGTGGTTAGGGGTGGGCACGCACGCGGGCAACCGCAGCAAAATTGGGCTTGCGGTGCGATTATAAACGGGCTTCGGGCCCAAGGAACGGTTTTACGCATCAACCGTTTATAATCGGTGCGGGCTTCGGTTCCAAGCCCAACAACCGAACAACAGAATAATACACTCGAAAACCCGTATTATTGTTTAGGAAAATATAAAATATATACCTTCTAAAACACATTGGCACCTTCACAATTTGCTGTGGGAAGCAAGGCGCATTCAACATCTAACTCAAATAAACACGCTTGACACTTGTAAGCCAAGTCTGGGCATCATCGGAAAGGGCTTTCTGCGACGAAGAAAAACAAATGAGCTCCGGTACAAGATTCGGAGTTTATGGAGCTCGAAAAGCTTTATGAGTCTAGAACCCAACATAATCTGAGAAAAACCCAAATCTAGAACATAATCCGAGAAAAACTCAGATCTAGAAAAACCCAGATCTGGGTTTTGAGAGAGGAAGAAGAAGGGAGAAGAGAGAGAGAAAGAATAAGAGAAAGAAAAAAGAATGATGAGCAGGGAAAGGAAAAAGATGAAGTTGGAGAAAGAAAACCCAAATCAAAGATTGTTTTTTGGGGGAATCCATGGATGAGGTGAGGAGGAAAAAGGCTGGGAAAAAAGAAGGGGCGGAGGGATGAGAGAGAAGAAGGGAGGAAGAAGAAGATGAACAATATAATAATAAATTAGGTGAGTTTTTATTTAATTAAAAAAAAAGCCACGTGGAAAAATAATGCAATTTCATCAAGTTTGTTTTTCATGTAATTATTATTTCTTTTAAAATGTGATTTTGTGGCAAGATAACGTGCCATCTATCATTTAACTGATGGAAGGACTTTTTTGGTATCGAAAATGAAATTTTAAGGATAATTTTAGTACTTTTTAAAATTGAGGGATAATTTTGATACCGAAGTGTAAAGTTGAGGGACCAAAATGGTACTTAAACCTAAAATTAAAAAAAATGGATCACAAAGTATTCAATAGATATTTGGGCCAGAAAACGAAAGGCCCAAATCCAAAAAAAAAAAAAGTTGCTAAGGGTTCAAGGCTGGAATCGGTCAAAACCGAAACCGATGTCAACCGAACCGATTAATTTAGTAACCAAATTGAAAAACCAAAATATTATTCGGTTTGATTTTTGGTTGTTATTTCACAAAATAAACAACCGATTAAAACCGTCAATTCAGGTTCGGTTCCAACCGAACCGAACCGAACCGATGCCCACCCCTACTTGTGGTTGCCAGTTCAAGCTACAAGCTCTATGGAATCTCTGTTCTTATTTCCTATTACACTTACCATATGTATTAATTATTTTTTAAAAAATTATAAAAAATTAAAATATTTTAACAATTAAAATGTTAAGTTTATTTATAAAATAATTTCAATATTTTAATAATTAACAAACATACAATAAAATTTATTAAAAAATTTTAAATAATTTCATAAAAATTTTAAAATTTTAAATGACAAAAATTTTTATTTTTATTTTTTTTCTTAAAAAAAATAATTACTTTGCTTGTGGGTCCTACTACTTCCACCCTCCACCAAAACGCAGTTACAGCCTAATTGGTCCGTCAATCACAGACATCAAACCCTACCTTGGATTCTCGAACTTGTGCGGTAAGTATATACGTGATTATTGTATTTTTTAAATATTATTACGAGTAATTTACATAAAAAATTGATATTAATTTTAATTTCCACCTCATGTGGATGTTTTTAAAGCTCTGTAAATCTAATTCTCTGTTGTCGAGAAAGAAGCATATAGTCTGCCTAGCTTACCGGTAATTTCTGAGATCTGTCTTGGCCCTTTCCTTTCAAAACTTTGCCTTTAGCAAACAAACCAAAACTGGACACTAGGGCGTGTGCTCGGGAGCGTTCGAGTAGCTTCTTGAGCTCGGTAGGCGTTCTTTGCTTTTGTGTATCACTCAACTGATTTCTATTTATTTTTTCCAGTCATCCACTTTTCCCTCACCTTTTTCCTTCTGTAGATCTTCCCTCTTTTCTTTCCTCTTTCCCTGTTTCTTCCTCCTTTTCTGCCCTTTACTTTCCCTTTCCTTTTTCTTCCAGTTCTTCCTTTTTTCTTTCTTTCCTTTAACTTTTAATCTTGTTGTTTTCTTGGAGATCTAGTAATATTTCACTTCCATCTACTCTAACTCCCTTCCCCAGAGCTCTTCCTTTTTGTCTCCTTCGGCCTTACTAGAAGTTCCTTCATACTTGATTAGGAGGCATATGGGGAAGAAAAAAAATACAAAAAATCTTTTTCTGTATTGAGAGTTAATAGGTGTTCAGATCATGTAACCACTAAAATTATAGCAACGTGTTCAAAAGTAAATTAAAAAGTGTTTGATTAAGTTCAAATGTCTGATTTAAAAAAATAAATAAACAATAATAATTTTTTAAGTGATTAATATATAATACTTCTATCACTTATATTTAATGTTGAAATTAATTTACCCTTTATTTTCTTTGCTTCAATTTGTCCTTTATGGTATATTATCTATGATTGTACGACATTGTCTATAAGTTTTTCCATATGCTTGACTTTCTTTAATCAATAAATTTTATTTTAATTATTTCAAAACCTCTTGTCGTCGACTTTTGTGTTTGATTGAGCATCTATCACTACTTTTATCTTTTCTTTATTGAAATTAGTGAATACTAACACTAGAGCTTTCACTGTTTAACTGTCATAGTTAGACTTATAAGCTGCCTATCCTCAATTTGAGAGCTGTGATTTGATTTCTTCCTTTTCATAATTGTAATCTTATTAAAAAAAAATAGCGAATACTAATTTGATTATAAATATTTGTTTTTGTGAACTCGATTAAATATTTGTTTGTCGTTTTAATTTGTTAACGGTGAAATTGGAGGGCATGCAATGGGGGAGTCCACCAAAAGGAGGATCCCAAATGCACCACTGTTGCAGAGCAAGGACCTGCATGAGGTACCTGAACATGTGCAGTTTAAATTTTTTTTATCAGCAACTATCTAATTCCTCTTTCTATTTTGGCATAACTTCTTTAGAAAGTTCTTTAACTATTTATCTTTAAAATTTTTAATCCCTTCACATATATTTTCTGTTATTATTATAAAATAAATAAAATTTATGAAATTTGACATTAGGATTCAACACAAAACTTATACTCAATCTAAAACTTTGATAATAAGTAAAATAATTTTTTTATATTTAACCCATATATTTTTTTATTTTTCTATTTAACAAAATCTTATCACAAAAGTTATATGGTTGTCTCAATTTTATAATTACATTTTTATCAATACTATGTTGATATAAATATAATCTACTTAAATCCATAAAAGTAAAAATAAAAAATTTCATTCATAATGAAATCCATGTGTACTTTGAGCATGATTTACTTTTATTTTCCTAAAGTTTTCTTTTTCTTGTCTTCACCCTAAAGCTTGGGTAGAAGAAAATAACCAAAAAGTGGTTATGCGTAGCAATCAAACAGCTAAAAGTCAAAGGGTGTAGGGATCTGATATGTGAGGCAATGAAACAAAATTAAATTTTACCATCCATGAAATTAGGGCCTAACTAGATTAAGTAGATGGTCCTTAAAGGCAATAAGGCAAGATAGAGTGGGAGCTTTTAAAGCAGCATGGGGAGATTCCGGCAATTGGGGCATGGAAGTGAAGAGACGTAAAGGAGTTGAAACTAGAAATCAAATTCGAGGAGGAGATGGAGGGGCGTGAAATGATAAAATTGAGAGTAAAAAAGATGTGGGTGATGATTACGGTTAGCATTTCTATTTATATGGGTAAAGGTTATGATTGGGCAGAGTTATAATCATTAAGCAAAATGTTAAGTTTATAAATAAAAAATAAAAAATGTTGTCTGTGAAAAAAATTAATTTTATTTACTGTAATTGATAAAAATAATAATTATTATATTTATTAATTAATAGTTAATA